GACTGTACGAGTTGCCGAGATAAAACTCCACGTATTTTGCACAAAAAGTCATCTATGACACCCAGGTGGTGACGAAAATCTGCTCAGGACAAAGTGAACAATGTGAGTTGAGCAGCGAGTACTGTTTCCTATACCACAGAATCAACACGGGCCAAAAGGTTAAGAAATGCGGTGAGACCATATGAAACTAACAAGCGTCATTTTGAAGGGTGGCGCGGGTGTGTTGTTTGCATACTTCAATCTTTGGGCATATCTTCTCAACAGCGTTTTAGGTAGCTCGATTTAACCCCAAATTGGAACCATCTACAAAAATTCAATCGTTCGTAACTGCTTGATTAATTTCCTGGAACTTCGGTTCCCTACCTCCATAAAAATGTTTCCGACTTGATGATTGAGCCTGCTAAGAAAAATAAATCAAACGTAAAGCAGTTTACGACAGTTGAACAAACATCGGTAATGTTCTTCATAAACCGGTAATTATTAGTTTCGCGTTTGACGGGGACAAACTCGCGATGGAAGACAAATGGAAAAACTCCCGAGGAGCTTTGTGGTTCCCGGTTTGCACTTCTTTCTAAACGTTACCTTTTCACTATCTATCTCTCCTAAAACACTCCTCATTCGTCAACGGTATTGACATGACTAGTTTAAAAATGAAAACCTGCCAACCGATGAAAACTGTTCGGTCTAGTTTGAGAAGGAGTTGTGTTGCCGACAGTGCATGTCATTTTAAATGGATTCAATCAAATCAACACCATAGATACTTGTTATTGTTTTTTGTTTTTATTTCCCGACATGCGATTTGTTGAGTAGGGTTAAAGAGTCTCCATGTCTCGTGTTCTAACAGCCTCCCGTACTCCATCGCTTCGGTCTTTGTCATTAAGAAACACAAAGGATTAATCTTGGTTTAGTACAGAAAACATTGGGCTTGACAATGGCTCGGCATGCGCAAGCACAACTGCGCATAATCTGTTTAAAAGAATACCAGGCACGGTCGAGGTAGGAGAAGACCAACGTAACGTAGAGATGTTGGCTTAATCATGAAAGTTCATGTGATTTCGAAACAAAAACATGTCTCATGGCAGACGAAATAACCATGATGGGCTAATTATGAACGTGTGTAAAACGTGGCATACAGCAGTTTGCGCTTGCTCTACCCGCCAGTGCAGATCAGCCCAGACAACATGATCCGTGTTTCGGGTCAAATTTGCATTAGAAAAGCGACGCCTAGACATGAGCACACGGGTAAACGTCTCCTACAATTCCTGTACTACTCCTACCGAAATGATAGATGACTGTAGGTTTTGTGAAATAACTATCTCCAAAATACAAAGTGAACTTTTGTAGGTAATTGGTAGAAATTCATTTCGTGAACTATTTATGAGAGAGCACTTGTATGAGTACGATGTTCTGTTACGATATGTTGTTATGATTATGCAGGTTTTAAACTTGAGTAGCGTACACGGTACGCTGCAAGTCGCATACAAGTGTACTTACTTCGGAAGTGTTAGTATGGTCACCAGTGGGTGCCTTGAGTTGTGGCGAATCACCCTTCACCTACTCCTCGCGAGTCTCACATATGAGCACGAGTCTAAGGTAGTGCTACTCAGTGCTTTCACGGAGTAGAGACGCATTGCCACCAAAGGCCTATGATCAAGTCGATGAACCCCTGACAGTTCACCTGTGGGAGTTGGTCAATCACTGTAATTTGAGTCAGACCAACAATAGTCACACAAACACAAAGACACCTTCGTGGTTCTGGCAGTGGTTACCGATGAGTTTTTGCTTCAAAATGTATTGCTCACTCAGGACGTTTTACCCTGCCTAATGACCTAAGATTCCGTAAACTGCATACCGGCTTCCAATGGATTTCGGTTTTTACAAACCACCTGGCTCCTCTGTTTAGGTCAAGCTATGACTAGTGATGCGCTCCGATTGTGAGTTCCCCAAGATAATTCACCTATTTTGTTCCGGGTAACCTGACCGTGTTCAGTCAATAAGTGAATCACAGAGCTTTTTTGATAAAGATCATTTTGTCGTTATTTGCTTGACATACAGTCTGGACGAAAGCACGCGTTAAATATAGCATAAACTGTCATGGTACCGACTTCCTATTCAGTTATTTTGTTGGATGCTGAGAACAGTATATCCAGTATCTATATCTTATTATTATTCTCATGCTAGCTGGATCAGATTGATACTAGTCTTTGTGCAAGACCAACTAATTTGTGGATAGGAATCAACAGTTTTCCAAACCGTTCATGTTAGGTGTACATCTTAATTGGTGTGGACGTGTGACAGAAAGACAGGATATCAAATTAGATAGCGTTACATCCCGTCAAGCAGCATACTAATGAGACATACACATAGTGGGTGATATCCAATATATCAATAATTATCTACCATCAGTATTCATTAGAGTCTTGGCAGATTTGCTGTATGATCGGCAACTCATCTAATGCAATTTGTGATCAGGGACGAACTCTTGAAGGGGTTAAAACAAACAGTGCAGATGAGCACAATCCAGGTTCCTTTTCAGATCGAACTATTTTTCCCCTTTGGATTCTCTTTCCGACATCATTAGTAACAGTATCTACAAAACATTTATGCAGCTGGTTTTTAGTTCATAAGTTATTTCAATGTCACTTCAGTCAATATACCCATAGGTGACAATACCATTCAATTAAGTTGAATTTCTATTCCACGGTTTCGTAGAAGTTTCAATTCCCTAATCGCTCTGCGCGCTCACGATACGATTGGTCAGGAGGATAAGCACAAATCATTCCCGAAAGGCAATCAGAAGAAAACAGTTAAAAATTTGCAAATAATCGGACGTGTCTCATTTTCATTGTCTCTCCTCGCCAAACATTTACGCAGAAACGTCGTCGATATCGACTCCATTCTAATACAATCAGTTTGGGGTTGACGTGTTGACGCTGAACGGTTAATGTATGTTCTATTCTGCCCAACGAGTTACGTTGGAATCGGTTAAAACACCACGGGTTTGTTCAAGACGCAATAAATACATCTAACTGGACGTTTCTTCCAAAAAGGTAAAATCATTACAAATAATGGTAGCTAAGCGGTGTGTATAGTAGTGTGCAATATATAACAGGTATCTGAGAACCAACCAGTATGAATAGCTGAAATACACCAGTTTGTTTCACGAACATCTTTCGGGTACCTGAATCCGGGACCCCATGGAAGCGATGGGTGTGCATTGACAATTATTTCTAGCAAGGTTGAGGTAGCCGTACAATAATTTCAAGGTTTTCTGGTGATATGAGATACGGTAACTCTGCAAGGACAAAACAACTCTCCATCATTGTTTCAAATGGGAAATACCTTTGACACAATTATGAGACCAGTATCCAAAAAAATGACGGCAGAGTTAAGTAAGTAATTTCAATAGTAAAATGAATAATTGATCCACTTAAGTCTTTAAAATCCAATCTTTGTTTCCCTAGATCCCGATTTGGCATGTTTGTTGGTACGTGTTCCACACTAAAACCCTGTGGCGCATTGTTTACTCGAATGATAACGTGAAGCCTAACTGCCACTGAGACAAATCAAGAACAATATAAATGTTAGCCGACAAACGAGATCGCCCCAGTCCCCCAAAATAACAACAATAAAATAGTTCCCGGTCAAATTCCTTGACGGAAAAGAGCGAGCAATTCACCCGCGTGGCAATTTCAATTCGATATGGCACAGGAGACAAAAAAATGCGCAGCGTGCAGTTCGCATGACAGTCCCCGGGGTCGATCCGACTTTGCCTGTATAGTCCCGATTTCGAGCCAAAACCGCCTGAGTGTCCTACGCATTGAGACACACAGGGATGGAGTGAGAGAAACAGAAAGCAGACTGTGTTTTCTCTTTGATTGACCCCCAATGTCTGCTTCATCACTGCGTGCAACCCTTTTCGCTCCCACTCATTCACCCTCGGCTCTATTCGTCCTAAACGATCTTACTCTTCACGACATACGCAGAGCACACGCGTGAACATTTTCACTAATTTAGTCATGCAACATACACGGAAATGATGCATAGAGGTGATGGCAAAGGAAGGGCACGAATGTGTTTGCGACGGAGTTGGGGTGAGGGAATGGTAGTGGTGCCGGATAGATACAAAAACTGACTAAACTGGTTCGGATAGATTTTTCTGCCAACTTCCTCAGACACATTTGCGCGTTTACGTTTAAACAGGGAGCAAAATTCATGACCATCTCCTTTCGTTGATAAATCGATAAACTAGGATGATTTCATTGCAACAGAAATATCGTGATCAGGATTCACGCTATTCGATGTTGTTCAGTGCAAAGTGGTTTGACGTATCGATCAGTTTGGCCGATGTCTCAACTGGGGGAGATGGTTTCATCATATGGCTAAGGTTGTGAGTCTATTGATCTGTTCAATCATCAGTCTGTCATTTCAAAATTCTACCCATCAAATTAGATGGAAAGATAATGGTCAAGTTTTCGCATGTTACGAGACGAACGTCTAAAATAGATGACAACTACCCTGGATATCTGAGCTCGAATGTTCAGCATTTGGGACGTGTCATAAAGAATGCACAATGTCTGTTGGACTGTGGCCCACCCTTACAGTGTTTGGGCACGGAAAGAAGATAGACAATGCGAGGCGTAGTCAATAGGTTATCCATTTGAGTACTATTCATGTGCTTGCCCACTTTATTTTAGCGATTGTGAGGTGTGATAGACAAGTAATACTTCTCGAAATACTTTTTGTCATTTGTTGCTTACATTAGATTCCAGATTCACATTGCACGTGCACTGGGATTGGGATGAACATTTTGCAACTGTTAAGTTCCCAGCTGATTATATCGCATAGATATTAATATAAAAGTTCTAAAGCCATCGTCATTATAAATACATCTATATATATATATACATATGCATAAACATATGTATCGCATAATGTGTAATCCCCACTGACACGACACCTATGTTCCGATCAGTTCAATTCTCACTCACCCCAATAGATTAGCATCGCTTCATGGTACGTAATTTGTGATTGGATTCCTCGACCGAGGGGACAATCAAACCGACGGGCAGTGATGCTGTTGGATTATCCGGGACAAAATTTACGCCAGTATGATTATTACTATGCACGTGAGCATTGACTAATCGTTCCGTCCCTAGGTCCAATTTATCTTTGTACAGTTTGTTCACATCCGCGACAGTACTGCCGGTGGTTGTGGGGAGCACGAATGAGGTGCAGGTTTGGATCACAGCAGCGTGATCGGTGAACTGTGGGCTGGGATCGAGGAGATACGAGGTGCACTGATTGGAAGATGCTGCCGACGGGGACGAACAGACGGGAATGAAATCCGGTTGCACGTGGCATACGGGCACAATTGAAGTGATTATGTTTGGGAAATTCAGATAACTCTGATCGGAATCCGATTCGGACAGACAAGCGGTCATCGGATAGGCAGTTGAGGATAGGGTGAGTATTTTTAATGGGATGGTGGATGGAAAGTTGATAAACGAATTGACTGGAATGTACGCAGAATGCGGCTCGGAATCGCCCGGGGCACAAGAAATTATGGTATCCGCATGTCCGACTGAGGTCACCGAAATCGGAGTGGACAACGACGGTTGTTGTTGGGTGTGAGCAGACGAATGTGAGACTGCAGTATTATTCGCATGTAATAGTGCTGCCTCTTGACGACATTGGAAAACTTGAGAATTCACGTGACTTGTGCTTGGCATTTCATCAAATTTGGTCTCGTCAACCAGACGGGGTAGGCTGCTCTGAATCGTGGGCACAGCTATCTCGGGTTCGATACGATTGTGATTATTCTCTCGTTTTAGCGAAACACGATTCCGTTCACGCAACAGATTACTCATGGGAATTTTTGGTGATACTTCCCCATGATGGGCTGAACTGTTGTAAGGATCACTGGATTTTTGTAAGCCAGATGTGTACAAATGACGAGCCAGGTGTCCGGCAGTTTTTCGCAATTGTCTTCGACGCTTTGATTTACAAAATAGCACGGCCACAATCACTAACAACAACAAAAATAGCCCAGCCACAATACAACCTATGAGCATGGGTAAGTGAGTTGGTCCGTTGCGCCAAACATGTCCCTGATCCGCAGAGCTTGATCGCACGGACAGCAGGGATAGGATCTGATCCAAAGATTTTCTTACCCGAAGTTGGTTCACAATCAGCTGAGATTTATCGCGATAAAGTAACATAAGCTTGTCAATTGTGATTTCTTCCTGTGGTTGGTTGAAATAAACAACAAGTTTGCCAAAAGAGTACCGTTGTTGTTCTTCACCGTGATCTGTGACCACTAACCATACATCAAGAAAACCGCTTGGTAGTGTTTGTACTGAATGGCGTAGCATGACTTCACCATTGTTCTCGTCCACTCGGAAAAGCAGGTTGGCCAAGCCGCACTGTACAGACACGTCTGTTCCGTCTGTTCTCAAGCTGTCATTCGGTGGAAGTAACGAATAAGACACACGACCATTGTGCCGCACATCATCGGGATCAATTGCTCGAACCCGTGTAACAGTAGATCCTGTTTCCGTGTCAAGCGGAATTACAATGAGTTGGTCTTGTTCGGTTGGAAATTGCCATTGAGGCTGGTGATCATTGATATCGGTCAAGAGTAGTCGGAGTGTGGTATAACTTGTCAGGGCTGGTGTTCCCAAGTCCTGCGCACCGATCAACAAGTCAATGCTCTTGATCACCTCCCGATCCAGTCTGGATTTGCTCCAAATGTAACCCTCGTTATTTATCATGAATTTTGGAGCCAGTGACGGTGTGACAAGAGATCTGGATGATGTTCCAAAAGGTAACGTCCAATTTTTGGACGGGTTGCTCTTTGAATCGACTATGAAATAACGAATTTCAGCATTCAATCCGCTGTCCAAATCGATAGCTTTGATCTGACCGAGTCGAGTGCCTTCAGGCAATTCTTCAGCCACCTTCAATACACGTAAACCGTCCACAAAATACCCTTTCCAATAGTTCAAATCGTCGAAGAGAGTCTGGTTCAGAAGCGGTGGATAAGTAAAGACCGGTGAATTATCATTCACGTCTTCCACCTGAATAATAACCGTGGCGTTCATTTTCGGTAAGGATCCAGCAGACCAGTTATAAAACTCCTTCACAACAATATCAACACGGTGGAACTGGTCGGTTTCGAAATCATATGCTTGTGTCACCATAACAGAACCGGTTGTCTGGTTTACCTGTACATGAGATCTGTTGTCAAGCAATTCATATATTGGTCGAGACAAAACATCCCGATCCGTGACAGACAGTCGAAAAATTATAGTTCCAACCGAGACGTCTTCTTTTACGGACATGTTGTACATCAGCACGGGTCTGTGACCATCTTGTTTCACAGCCGGATGCAACTGTTTCCCATCGGGAAGTGTGACTTGTAGTTGCGGTAAATACTCATCTTCATCCACGATCACAAGATAAATAAGCAACGAGCCTTCGAGGGCTGGATCTCCATTGTCTTGGCAACGAATTTGGATTGGAACCACACCGACGATCCGAACAGAACTGTACAAATGACTCAGTGCGGAATTCGGTAAACTGAGAGGCCTTTTTACCAGTTGTTCTGCATCAATAGTCAGGGTGAGAATCAAACGGTAAATAGACACGTGTTCCGTCAGTTGACTAACTCGTCTCAAATCCAACATCTGAGTGATATTCTGACGTATCAAAAGAGAGGAAAGGTCAGGCGGGATTTGGGCGGTTGACTGGAAAGTACATTGCGTGTTCGCGTTGCCCACACTATCTGGATCAACAACGCGAAAGTAAGCAAGCACATGAGGAACCGGGGTTTTCTCGGATACTTGTATAAATGCAGCAGATTCTGTGGATATAAGTCCGTTCAGATTGAGGACATTGTTTGATGTGTCTCGGGAGTTCTGTAAAGTCACACTGGGCGCATGATTGTTGGAAGCGATCACGTGCAATGTGACACGAGCAATATTCGTGTCTATGTTTCTGTCATTCAGATTGGGCCCTAAGTAGTCCGTATTCGCGAATGAATTGTTGAATGTCAGATCGCTTGTTGCAAGGACTAAAAACCGATAGACTCCCGGTCCCGGTATTGGCTTGATCAGTCGAATCAATCCTTCAATTGGATCGATTTGGATGAGATCTTTTTGCGAATTACTGATTGGTAGAATGTAATATCTGATTTGATTGAACGGTGGAGCATCTGCATCAGTAGCTTTCACTGTGATTAACTCATGTCCGACGGGCGCCGTTTCTTTCAGAATGACCGAGTAATTTGTCTGTTCAAACACTGGTTTCTCATCATCTAAATTCTGTACCAGTATGTGTATCAGCTGAGTGGAACAGTGTATTATCTGTTTATCAACTGGTGATAATTTGCTGCGAGGTAGTTGACCATCGCATGCGGTTAAATTGACCCAATATTCCGGAGTCTGTTCATAGTCCAGTGGTTGTCGAGGCACTAGATACAATTCTTCCAGACCATGCTTCGAGTCTGAGCGACGTTTGTGTATCAAATAGAAAGGAGTATCGTCTGGGGTGAGGTAGTAGTATATCTTTTGCAATCCTCCTCCATCCAAATCTGTGGCAATTTTCAAGTTAATTTTGGTTGAATTCACCGTATTTGTTTCATCCACTTTGACAATCTGTACATGAAAACTGGAATCAACGGAGATGTTGGGGAAAGTTGGCGAGTTATCATTTAAATCTTCCACAATTATGTTGATTTTGATGAGAATTTTATTGTTCACAGAGGCCAATAGGTTAAGCACGCACTGGTTTTCAATTAACCTCGTGATCTGGTCACGTACAGTCACGGGACAAATGGTTTCACGGTCCAGGCCGCTCGGGGCTCGGTCACTGGTGTACAAGTTCCCCGTCGGACGATCCAGATAGAACAGCGGAAGCCACTTCGGTTCCACAGAATCTAACCGTACACTACGCACGTGGTCCAAAAGTCGAGCAGCTTGAAAAATATTGCCCACAATTTGTTTGGCCGGAGGATGTTCAAAAAGCCGGAAGGTGACGTCCTGGATCGTGTCTGAGGCAAGTGTCATGAGATTGAGTGTGACTACAATCAGAGTTGGAACAGCATCCCAAATACGGGTAAGCAGCATATGTGAACCAGGGTGTATTGATCAGTGTGCTCGAGTGACATTAAAACGATTTTTTCACATTTTTGTGTACATACGATCAGTTGGTATAGACCACGCAAAATGAATCCATCCTAAGCTGCTCGGAAGTAAAAACACATTCTAATGAGGAAACGATACCGGTCCATTGGTTTCAGTCCATCTAACTCGGACGTACACTTGAAAGCCAACGAGACGAAGAGGTTAGCTGTCGCGTGTGATTGGTCAGTAAAATAACCAATCAGAATGCTGCATTGAAACAGTTCAGATGGGAAAATACGGCATGACCTATCGGCTGGAAACGCAATCGCCTTAAGCCACCAGTTGACTGAAGATATGGAGGTAAAACACGACATTCGGTTTGTTGTTCAAAACTTTGTAATAAAATTGTGCACTTTTCGCTTGAAACGTTTAGAATAATCGCCAAAATGTAGCAATAGCGTGGCAAGGCAGAAAATTCCTCGGGTAATTTCCACTGAAACCACACAATAATGCGTGTTCTTTCAGTCTTTGAAGAAAAATCCTCTGTGTTTTGTAATCGGCTGAAATTATGAACAACTCAACGGTGTGCTATAACATCACTGGAAGGAAATCTTTCTACGAACGTAACGAAGTTTAGTAAACTTCCGCGATTTAATACGTATATTCAGTAAAAAAAATGTAGTGTTCAGTTAGCCCAAAACAATGTAACCTCAAACTTTCATACTTGTTCCATTTCGCCTGTTCACCGAGCTTGGCAATTTGTTCGGAAACGTTTCATCACCAGCGGAGGCGACATCATCAGTGGTTGTATCAGCTGGAGGGTTTTTATGCGTTGATGTATCCATGAAGACCTATCGTCTGAACCGAGCTCTATTACATAGTGTGTTGCGGATTGTATTGTTGAATACAATAAATAGGGCTCTTGTTTCGAAGGAAAGGGATTCTTCCTGAGTGCGAGCTGGAATTTGTCATCCTTTGCGCCAACAGCCGGTAACCGTATGATTTCTCGAGGTTCACGGTCTACGAAAACGGCGTGCAGGGGGTTGCTAACTATCGCTTACCAACAAGATGCAAACCATTCAAGTAGACATGAATATTCGAGTCCATTTAGGACCTTAACCTTCTCTTTTATCTGTATTTCTTGATTGCGCTTGTAGCGTTAGATATGTTCTGTTCAATTGATTTTCAGATTAGGTCCCACTAACGCAGTATAAACAATTACACAATAATCTAGTATGTTGCTTAAGAACACTGAAAACATGTGGTCACGTATCGGTAACGTAATGTGTGGAACGTTTGTAAACCCAACTTCGGCACGCAGTTCATCTGTGTGTTACACTATCGTGAAAAGTGGAAAACTGTGTGCGACCAGAGCCCCCAAAACAGGAGGTAGACTCGGTATCAGATTCCGTAAATGGAAATGCGTGTGTTCCAAGCCATGACATCCGCAGATCAATCTTCTGCACAACCAGGCGGGAAACCGTGAGTCTGGTGACAGTAACCGAAATCAAATGACGCAGCACCCAATTTCACAGACAGCTAGTTGAGTGACATATTTCGAACATTTTTTCGTGCAGAAACCCATTGGTGTCGAGTTCATATGGAACAAAATGTTAGCAATATGGATTGGGAATCTTGCTTGACTAAGTTAGAACACAGATCATTGAGGAACATGTACCTTTTAGTTGTTACCAAGGTTTACGTGGGCTGAGAAAAACGTTTCCGGATAATCAGTTACACGTACGGGGAAAATGTGAACTGTGGAGTCTATTGTGACTATTGTTCAGTGATTGCAACCCACAGAACCAAGTACCAACAACTGAACACAGCTGACAGGTCACTAGGGTCGCAGCACTGACTTTAAGGATGGAACTCAGACGATGCCAATGTACGGCGATGACTTTGTACGACTACAAATGCGATTTAAAGCGCCATCAGAGGGTTGATCGTCTGTGAGCTGCCTTTTGTGAAAACTTACCTTCGACAATCACTGCGTTCTCCAATGTCAAGCAGGGTGCATGAACTCCGATACGAGTCGTCAACAGCTGCAGTGGAGGCCTCTATTGGAATGGTCGAAGGGTTACCCGCTTCGAAGTGCGGAAGCTGTTTCAACAAATATTTGGAGCGCAAAAAGCTGCGCTTCAACGCTGGTGGAAAATACTTGGACGCGTATTTTTGTGTAAAAAGTAAAGTGTTTGTCTATCCGGAAGCTTTTTTATATCATCCCTAGGATAAAAGTACAAAGTAGTTCTGAGGCTTTTCAGATGTGAGTTTTAATTTCAACGATTTATTACTCGTGCCCAGGTGCTGATCTAGGTATCTGCTGAAAGTCTTAGCGAAAATGTTTCCATAACAAAGGATTATTTCACTGGGATTACCAAATCCCATTCTTTCCTTTTTTATTGCACAGAATTATGAAACCCTAAAAATCAATAATGTGAAATTAACCTTTAATCTCAAACGGCTGGGCGTGAACACGTCATTGACCATTTCTCATTTAACCGAATACTTTTATCTTTACACTTGGCTTATTTGGAAAACATTGATATAGCGAATCGAGCAGCTAACTGTTGTCAATATTTGGTTTGGCATTTTGTTCCATATGTACCTTAACCATACAAGTAGGATTCCTCCCTATATTGTTTATGTCATGTAAAACATTTTGAACTTTGGCACAGATAACCCAAGATCAGAAATTCTGCTTTATACTTTTTTTCAAAGCCCCAGAACAATAAATCCATGCATGTATGTTCTAAGGGTTCCATACTGCGTTTTTATTAATTCTAACGTTTCGTTCGATAAATGACCAATTCGGGATGATAATTAGGTAACGGAGATAATCAGTGTAATGTCAAACCATAGAAAAAGTACACACTTTGTAACGGGTACTGTAAACCTCGATCTGATAGGATTATGGGGCAATTTATGAATGCAATGTTGACCCATGTTGCGCGCGACTTCTCCGGTCCTCAATTACGTTTTCACACACTTACAGACGTACATCGTTTGCACACCGTTTGTGCAATTCTCCATCCAGAATATTGCTATTCTTGAGGTAAATAGAATAGAGACTAGTCTAGTCTTCATTTTGTTGCATTATGGTGAAAGCGAACATCGGTAAAGTGCTGTATAAGCTACCAATCGTAAATTAAACTCAGATCACAGCTCGTTACCAGGGTATAAAATAGATTTATTCTTTTATATTAGACGCTGAATATAAGTGATTATGATTCATAAATAATTACGTCATTTAGTAGGCAGATCGAATTTGAACGATAATTTAGTACAAAAGATCCCCAAATGTCCACATTTTGAAAAGCGTTATAAGCTGTTCCCACGAATCAAAAACACTGGAAAGAGAATTATGATTCTCAAATATGAACCATATGCAACTTGACAAAGAGGAATATTTACCAGGTAAACAAACCATGCAGTCTTCTTTGAAGCCTGAAATGCCTATGAATTATTCCTGTTTAATTTTTGCGTTCATAATTTATCCTAAGAATTCGATCTTGATTACTTTTTTATTGTGATACGTCCAAAGCTATAAAATTCACGCAAATCTACACGATTCTCTGGAAGTGGTCACGATTGCGGTTTCTCGACCGATACCAGTTGAATCATACAATCTGAAGCACCCCCGTTGAGTAGAAATTCCGACTGCCTTCATTTGCACTGCTATCCGATGAAATCATGTGGAACGCGAAACCAAGAGTGGCAGCCACAGACCCATCCACACCTTCAGCCGAATCGTTTGTTCTTTCTTTGAGGAAAACATAGTGTTTGATTTCACCACAATTGGCTATCTGTGAAAGGTGGACTCAACGGTAGGTGAAGAAACGCATTTGGATTGGCTGACCACTTCGGGTGTGAGTTTTCGGAGAACAATCGAAGAATTCAAGTGTCTCATTCCGCTAAGGAGAAAAATAGCCACACCAATTGTGGACAGTTTGCACAGAGCGTTTTCTTCAAACTGGATCAGTTCAGAGTAGAACAAGTGGAAGAAAGCGATGACCACGGACGAGTTGCGAAATGCTTTTATCTTGCGGTTGGAAATCTGCCAACTCGGTGTGTGATTTTGGATCTTGTCCGAACCAAAGCAACCGGATACGTATAGCATGCATCATCATAGGCATAAATATTTAGTTGCATGATTAGGAAACATTACCAAAGGAACATGTAGGATCAAATGAGATTTTCAAGCATAATTCTCGTGGAATATCCCATAAATAGATAAGAACTGCATACAGATTTACTTCAATACACAAATTAAATTTCCTCTATTGGTTCAATCACAAAATAACTATAACAAATCGATAGAAATTTCCCCATCGGGCCTCAGAATCTAATTATGAACTATACATATATTTGGTAGAATCAAAAATATTGTATTCAATGATAAAATAAAACATGATTTAAAGTTCCAAAATAATTTCTGATGTCATTTATGGCACTTTGTTTAGGTCATGTTAATAATTTTGTTAACATATAGCATAAACTATCACTCATTACTACCGTGAGATGGGAAAACAAGTCGATCATCTACTGGAAGCCCAATTTAACACAGAATGAATAAAAATATCTGAACTAAGCACATGTGAAATGGTTCTGTTTAGAAGGTTGGTTCCTTAACTATTCGCTTACTGAGTGAAGCTGGTCAGTTAATTAGTCACCAGTTTCATGTATTCTAAACCCTCCTATCACAAAAACTTTCATTGTGAGCCCTAGTCGGTGTCTTTGTTTCACAGTCAAGTTGAAGGTAACAGACTGTGTGACACGTTGTGAAACATCTGTTTCAATAGGCCACTTTCTGGTCATTAGAGGGTGTGTTTACATCCCCGGTGCCGTCAGAGACAGAGAGAGGAAATTGAAAATCTCACCCTTACCGAGTGGTAATATCTGATAACATTGGTAGATTTGTTTTATGCAGCCAAATTTAAAGGTTCTGACCTGGGGCATTAGTATAAAAACCCGCCAATCTATAGATATACAGATATACAACC